TCTAAATTATTTTCGAAACAAGTGTTAAATCGCTTATCGAGCATAATAATTTATTCTAATTTACTATATTAACATGTACTTCTATTTTTGAGAATAAATTATATTATATTATATTATATTATATAGTTTTTAATGGCGCATGTTTATAAAACAAGAAAATAACTTGTTCTGTGAGAAACTGCACTTTATCATCAATATTTTCAATATTGAAAATTTCATGAAATGGAGTATTTTTTAAATCATAGTAAAAACTGCCACAGTTAACATTTTTAAAATCTCTAAACGTATAAAATTTAGGTTTTTCTTATTTTTGAAAATTCCAAACTACAGGAAGAGTACCCATGCTCAGAAAAATTTGTTTGGTTTACACCTGGTTTTTTACTAAACTACAATCACTTATATAAATAGGATCAAGCAGAGTCATCGAGTTGGATGTTATTTATTCTAGAAGGTTGATATCAATTTAAAACAGTGTTATAATAAAATTTGTTAAATATAATTTACACTCATTTTTGGTTATTTCCAAATCTCACACTGGTCTTTTTAATTAAATTATTAATAAAAACTTATTTATATTTCATTAATAAATGCTGAGTCATGCGTAGATTATCTGGAAACATTGTTTAATGATAATAAATTCATACAAGTTAATTAATCTAGTGTTACCATTTCTTTAAATATAAATATACTGATTATTCATTTCAAATTAACAATGCAGATTTTGTAAGCCTTCCAACTTAGTAAATGTTGATATAGAGTTAATGCTGTAATTCTTGTGTGGTTACTTTTCTCTGAACAGAAAAATTGAATTTTTGAATTTGAAATGAAGAACTTGAAATAATCCTAATAGGTGTACATACTTATTCTATACCAATATGAGAAATGAGAAACATTAATTTGTAATAAAAAATTTACAAAAATACACAGTTAAAACTATAATTTCATTTTTATATGTTCCTGTATTGTTTTTTTAAAAGATCTAAATGGTGGACTAGATTTTTTTTACAAATAAGAAATTTACTATAATAGTCAAAGCATTTAGAAAATTTAAGAGTTCATTAAAATTCTTACTTGCAGATCTTGTTACCTTGGTTATTAATTGAGGTATCGGAATAATTTTTTGTTTTGTTTGAAATCTTCAAATAATTAGTTTCTTCTAATAGGTTCTATTATTCAATGATGCCATGGCTCACTTTTCCGGAAATTACTGTAAATTACAATTAATTTTTTATTAATACATGGAATACCCTCATTTTTTTAACATTTTAATTTTCTGGGAAATTTTTGGATAATTCATTTATAGACTAAGAAATGGAAATGTATCACATTTAAAAAAGTCTTTGTAAGCTGAGTGCGACATATGCTACACCAGAACTGAACTCATAATACTCTTACAACAGGCTATCGCATACTCTGACAAATGTTGATTCACAATAGTACTTTGTGCAACAAGAGTGGATATGGAAAATCCACTCGAGTTCTACAGTATATTTTTTCTACGACCCAGTAACGAAAATCACAAATTGCAAAAATTATTTTAGGTTATTAAGACAAAATAACTAATTTTAAAATAATTTGACTTTTACTAATTTATAATATAAAATAAACACAAAAAAAGATTTAATTTAATTAGTACCCAGCCCAGATTTGAACCCAGTCCTCCCGCATGGAAGCCAAACGCCCTGTTCTCACCTCCGTCGCCACACTTACCATTTTAGTTTTAATACTCGTAATTAAATTAGTTTCACGTAATATTTTTAAAATTTATGATTTATTTGTAAATATGGACAAAATAAAAATAGAAATGCTATTATTTATTGATTCTACATAACTCATTTTTACGTACATTTAATCTTAATAACTAAAAAATATACTGACAATTAGTTTGCAGTGTTCTTACTAATGGATATAAAATATATTTGTTCAGTTGAATGCAATGGCATACTTTTTCGTTTTGTAGTCTGTGCATAGAAAAGCTAATATCCATGTGGATGTAGAAAACATTGTTTTAGAGAGTTGCTCAGGACATTTCTGTTAACTAAGCCTTAATGATCTTACAGAATTTTATGAATGACGAATCATTATGTAATGTGTTATATTTTATTATTATTTCCTTTATTTAGCTAGTTCGCTGATATCACAATATACAAATTTAGTAAAAATATACATATACATATAAGTCAAAACATAGATAATTTAGATACAATTAAAACTAACTAAAATTATATAGGTTGTTACTGTTTCTGGAGAAATATTCATCAATTAAGAAAACTGTCACTTTGACTTTAAATGTAGTTACAGACGTTACTGATTTAATTTTCTCTGGAAGTGCGTTATATTGATTTAGACCTTTAAAAAATAGTGAATTTTGTGTTGCACTCTTAACAACTGTTTAAATATAAAAGTTATTTCTGTTCCGCATTGGATAATTGTGCACATTAGAGTGATAATTAAGCTTCTCTTTTAGGTACATTGGAAGTAAGTAACTCGTGTTTGATTTTATAAATAAAAATTGACGCATTCCGTAATAAGAGACTTTTGATTGGCATCCACCTCAAAGTTTCAAGCATTAGATTAATTGAAGTATATTTTGAACAGGATAATATTCGCATATTTTAGTTGAGTATGTGTTTATGTGAATTTATAATAATATATTTTAAAGACTATTTATTTATATTTTTGTAATACCACATTGTTTCTGTCTAGAAGTATTTTAACTTGAATTTTATCTAAAATAATAATGAGAAGATGGAATATTTGAGCTAAAAATGCATAGACACGCCACTGTAGTTTGGGTCGGTGTCAGTGGGAATTCTGATGCTTACAAAGACTTTTTAATGGTTTAAAAATAGTATCCTTTATGGCGGTCATTGTGATAGCTGACAATACGCGATTCTTATCCAAAAACGTTGGAAAAACTCAAATTTTCCATATAAATAAAAATGATTTCCGAAAAACAGAAATATAATTTCTTAGAAGAAACTAATTAGTTCAAGCTGTTTTACCTCTTACAGGTTTTTCTTTTTATTACTTGTCTTTCAACTTTCACACTTTGTCTACTTCAACGTTATCTCTAGTTAATTTCCTATTATTTATATTTGTTTTATACAGAGTGTACGGAAATTGCGTATACATGGAGCTACCATAGATGTATGGGCTGTTAAGTTGATTACATACCACGGCTGGCCTCTAGAGGCCAACAAAGTTAAATAAAAATTTTTTTTTGTTTTAATTTCCAGAATTCGGCTATTTTAAAAGATTAAACTTGGTTCCAATACTGGGTGTTTTGTGGTCAATTAAAAGCAGTAGGAACAATTTTTCTATTGCGACTATAAACCTCTCATTATGGGGAGGGCCATGAACGTTTTCCTTAACTTTTTTATTTGCCACTTTTGCCATTTCTGGCATTAAAATAGGAAACTGTGGGGATTTTACTCGAGATGATGCACCCTTAAAAAATGTATATGAACTATTAATATCCCTATTTAGTACTATGAAAGATGGTCTTAATGAAATAATGAAAGTTTTGTTGCCTTCAGTACCTAGATTCCTAAAGGCAGCGTTCTGTATGTCGCACAGTGGCGGCTGGTGCATAAGAGTATTTCAACTACATTTCACAGAAATTAATAGACAATCTCAAATATATGTAAGATAAATTTTATGGATAATCTCATTAATTTTAATTATTAAATAGCGCGCGAATACATTCTACTGTGAGTTCATAGCTGAGAATAAGTCCATAGGGGACCAGTGGAAGATTTGACAAAAGCTCACCAAGCAATATTCATCTCTCAGCTGAATCGCTTCGGAACGGTCTATGTATCGCTTGGGCCGTCCGTGCTCATCGTCTCATTTCTCCGCGGCCCTAAAAAGTAACGCCAAGACATGTTTTGAACTGCCTTTTTGCCAGATCGGAGAGCTTTGTTTATAGTCTGTTGCATATGTGATGTGATTCGATTTCGATTTTTTTATAAATTCTTAGTTTGTGTTAATTCGCCAGCGCGCGTTTCCATTGTACATTAAAGATATGGATGTAGTTTATAAATTAATAAAAGAAAAGAGATTTTTTTTAATAACGCCTATGAGTAGTTTGCTGATAAAAAGGAGCTCAGAGAATAGAATTAAGGTAAAAAATAGGTGAATAAAAGCTTTAAAATAATAAGGGCTCTTTCTGGGGGGCTGTAAGACAGAATCTTGCAGAACATTTGAACGACGAGCCGCTACTGATGCTGCATAATTATTATATCATTGATACCATCTTTCATAGTACAAAGTATGGGGATATGAAAAGTTCAATTCCATTATTAATTTATTTTTTTCGAATAAGATGTAATTTTTTTGAGTAAAAACTCCATAGTTTCATGTCAGAAATGCCAAAATGTGATAAATAAATAAAGATAATGTGCGTTGCCCTCCCCCTAATGAGACGCCTATGATGAAACATTGTTCCTACTGCTTTTAATCAGTCATAAAACGCCTAGTATTCATACAAGTTTGATCTTAGAAAATGGGTGAATTCTGGAGATTAAAAAAATATATTTTTATTTAATTTTTGTTGACCTCTAGCGGCCAAATAAAGCAAATTGGTATGTAGATAAGTTTCGTTAAATCAACCTATTTTCTCCCCATAAATCTTTGGTAGCCTTTTCCAGATATCCTGTGTATAATTTATTTTCCTAGCACTTTTCTGTAGTATTTAATTTCTGCCATATACATATAAATTCAATTTTCTATTTGTAATTCGTACTACAAAGGTACTGGTAGGTATATGTCGTTTTATCAATATTTTTTCTTTGTATTCTAAAAATTTTTTTTGTAGTGCACACACGAATAGAGACTTTAACTTTTTTTATAAAATACAAAATGTAAGTAAGTAAAATAAAACCTACTTTTAGACTAACTCATCGAAATTTTCTTTTGACGGTTCAAACAAGACAATTATATGTAAACGAAATCTGTATTCCCTGCCAAATTATCAACTTTTACTTTCTCTTTTTAAGGTATTCACTCAGGGCACCAACATCCTGCAGTTCGAGTAGTCTCAATGCCTATGGGCCATGGAGGAAACGGCGGCGCTCAGAACTACCATGGCGGAGGTGCTGGTGTTCCAGTTGTAAATAATGGAGACCGTCGGCACATGCCAAGTTTGGTGGACAGACGGCATATATCTCCACCACTGCACATCAACATATGCGAAAATACAAATGGTATGATGAATATAAACACGCCACCGGCAGAGGGCATGCAGATGCATCAGAGGGCAATGATGGACTTTTCTCACGGAAGAAGAAGACATGGAATAGGTGAGGAAACTTTATTTAACTATTTGATCAATCAGAAGAATATGTTATTTCCACATTTTCGCCTTGGTCTAACCTAACTAATGTTTAAGCATTTCAAAATTAAAAACATATTGAAGTTAGTTTATACCTGTGTTTTATGGTCGAAATTTAAAAATGTATTTATGTATCCTTTTATTCTTTATTAAAGTCTTATATTAAATACTACTAAAAATAAGACAGTTTGATAAAAAATAGGCAATATATTCTAAAAATGTGCAGAAGTAGATGGAGAGGAATAGCAACACCCGCGATATGTGTCACTGTGAAACACGATGGAGCTGACGATTTATGCCACGTTGCCAAATTTATGAGAATTATGTAATTCTGCTTGAGTAAAATATTGAAATAGTAAAATGGATACATAATAATTTTGTTGTATTGAGGGATCCACAAAAATGTTTCTAATAATTAACGCATGTCGGAGCGTTCAATTCTTCTTTTTAAGTGTCATTTTGTATGCATGCGTAGTTATCACGGACGTGACTCATCTCTGTTTTTATCGGTAATGGACTACATTAGAAACAATTTTTGTGAATCAATATTTATTATGGGTGTACCAACCAAATTGAAGTTAGTCTTAAACGTAACTTGATTTAAATTGACGGTAGGCGATTCTGGTTATAGATTAACAGCTAAGTATTATACAAAAAAATTATATTATTATTAAATAAAGTTATATAAATGATAAACCAACAATTATATTCCGTAAACAGGTACAGCCGGCGCGGATTAATTTGTCTATGGTGGGATATAATTTGCGCACTTCTTAGCACACCTTCATATTATGATCTTACTATCTACAATATAGTTAGTAGCATTATGCTTGTGTTTTGTATTACAAGTAAATGAAATTTTTACATTAGAATAAATAAACATTAATTTTTTCTATACCATTTAATATTGGATGTTTACTAATTTATGCTAAAATACTAAACAAAATATTTGGAAAAGTGTTTATTTAGAAATATAATATAAATTTTATAATATTTATAATAAAAATGAAACTAAACAAGAGATAAAGACAATTTGCAAATAAGATATTTATTCAGTCGTTAAGCCATTAAGACCATAAAGGTTAATCACAAAACAATAATCGATGTTCCTTGTTTTATACTGAGAATGGACTGTAGCAATCAAATTTTTTTATTAGTCCATTTTAAACTTTTCCACTTATAAAGTTAATAGGAGTAAAATAATTCCTTAATCCTACTAATTTAAGCTTATCTGCATCTTAGTTAAGCAAATCTTTGTGTCATTAAAAATTGAAAAGATAATTCTAATGGTGGGGTCTACATTACTTCAAATTCCAGTGTTGAAATTTACAATAATCATTGTCGCACTGTAGAATATGTTCTGAATTCATTCCCTGATAATTCTTTGTGTCTTATGGGTGATTACAACCTACCACATGCTGATGGGACGTATGACATGGCTTCAGAAGACCATGGCATGTTATCGGGTTGTCCAGCGAACTATCCAGCAAAAAGAGTATCTGAAACTTTCTCATTTTATAACCTTAAACAGTTGAATTATATTAGGAATCAAAATAATGTTCTCTTGGACTTGTTTTTTTCTTAATGCTTTGAATCTGCAGTTTTGGTTGAACCTATTAACCTGTTATTACATTAATATCGATAATTCATTGAAAAACTTGATTTTAAAAATGCTGACTACATTAGTTTAAATAATTCTTTTGCACTGATCAATTAGGATCAATTTCTTGCTGTTAATGATTTAGATTCAGCTCTTCATAAATTTTACCAAGTTACCAAATACTTAGCAATGCAATACATTGTTTTGTTCCACTTCCAAACTGAATAGCTCTAACTTTCCAAAATGGTTTTCAGCTGATTACTAAGAAAAAAAAAATAGCCCACGCAAGATATAAATCCTCATGCAACCTCAATGATTATTGTATTTTCTCAAACTTAAGGGCACAGTGTAAGTTCCTATCTAGACAATTTTACAATAATTACTTATCCCGAGTGGAAAGCACAATCCATGTTAATCTCAAATTTTTTTGGAGATAAAATCTTTAAAAAATGACTCTTCTTTGCCTGGCACTATGTTCTTAAATGATAAGGCAGGTGATACCAATCAACACATCGGTGATTTATTTTCTAGTGCTTACAGTCATGAAAAAGCAGACTTATCAAATATTAATTTAGATATTAAAAACACCTTTTATATTTCTATCAATTTTTCGGTACAAGAAAAAGTGTATTTTCACATTGACTCGTCCATTATTTTTACTATTTAAATCCTCGATAAAGTTAAAATTATTTTCCAGACATCTGGAAAAGTAGTGTGGTACCTATCTTCAAAAATGGCAACAAAAACGAAAACGATATTCAGACCTATTAGTATAATATCCAATATTCCTAAACTTTTTAGAAAAATTAATTGTGTGATCGTTATTGTAATAATTTGATAATCGATAAACAACATGGTTTTTCCAGAGGTAAATCAACAGTTACAAACTTGATGGTTTATCAGCAGGATGTTCTTTTCCAATTTGGTGTCAATCTGCAGGTGGATTCAATTTATTCTGACTTCTGTAAAGCCTTCAATTGTGTGAACCATTTAATATTATTACACAAACTTAATCTTTTAGGTTTTCCTGATGCTTTGATTTCATGGATAAAAAGCTATTTTTCTTGGTATGATCCAGATAGTAAAGATTGGCAGCAGTACTTTAGACCACAGTGTGGTTTCTTCTGGAGGAGCCTTGTTGTTTCTACTGTTAATTTTCAAATATACCAAGTTTCTAATTTTTGCAAATTACTTAAAACTTTACATGGCTATTCATAATATAAATGATTGTCTTCTTCTTCTTCAAATTGATGTACAAGCTCTCCATAATTGGCCTGTGAAAAACTGTATGCCTTTTAATATTTCTAAATGTTACACGATTATATTTGGTAGGAATCACAACAAAATAATCTTTGATTATTCTATTTGCGATACAATCTTCAATAGAGTATCTAAGATAAACTACTTAGGAGTGCTTGTTGATGAGAATCTGGCATTTAATCTACATATTAATCAGATCACTGGTGAAGATTTAAGAACTCTTGGATTTATACTGAGAAACTTTAGTGGTTTCTTGATAAATTCAGTGAAAATAGTATATTATACAAATGTCAGATCCCTCGAATACAGGTTGCCCATCTGAATACCTTTTTACAATGTCCATATTTCCTCTATTGATGCTATTCAGAATAGTTTAAGATACTGTGGATACAAATTGGGATTAAGTCATGGGAATTATGAGTATGAGGATATACAGAGATTATTGAATTTAGAATCGCTGGAATTTCGTAGATTAACTGTTGACTTTGTATTGTTTAAATTGATTTTGGGTTTAACTAATTGCAGCAACATGCTTCAACTTATTCAGTTGCATATTCCTCAAAGATGTACGAGAAACAAAGACTTGTCTATTGTGTCCTTTCAATCAACAAATTATGGCTATTTTAGTAATTTGTCAAGAATTGTCAGAAAGGCCGATGAGTTAGATATCGATTTTTTTTGTCAGTCTATATTCTTAAAAAAAATAGAAATAGATCTCAATAGGTTTGTGTTATTGTAGTGTGTAAATATTTGTATTACAGTATGTACTGTATATTTTTCTATTGTATGTTTTTTTCTAGTATAATAAATAGAAAAAGTACTTTAGGCAAAATTTTGCCTTTCAGATATCACTGGAGGCCGAAGAAATCATTGTTAAAGTTGAAAATTGTATGTCCCCTATGTCCCATGACGTGTACCAATAAATCCAGAGAATTTAAATTTTGTTACCGAATATCTACTTTAATTTTCCTATTAATCTCATCTCTGTGTGTATTGTAGGTAGAGTGAAATAGAAAAATAATAAGATGTCTGTTTTTTATTTTATCAATTCTGGACAATGCATGAACTGATGTTGCAACAAAATAAAAGGGGTCGATTAAAATTTACTGATATATATTTAAAAATTTTGTAGTTTACGATGTGTATTTTAAATAAATAATAAGCTACCTATAATAAAAACTCCATTTCATTATTTTTTTAATTGGAAAGGCGATTAGTTTTTATAAATTAAGGGGCAAATAAAATAAATTTATATTTTAATGTGGTCGTAATTAGATATGATTAGTATATTTACCTGCAATAAAATTGGTTACAAACCTAATCCCTCGATTGCATTTAGGCGGTACTCCGGGCATTTAAAATATTTATTTATATTCCTTTACAACCAGCAAAAAGAAAATTGTCTCAATGTACTCAAATAAACTAGGTAACAAATTTATAATCGGTGGAGATTACAACTCCCAAAACACCATCTGGGGTTCAAGATTAACCACAGTCAAAGGAAAAAAATTGAACCGAGCTGCATCAAAACCTTGTACCAATATTCTGAAAAACCCACCTATTGGCCCACCGACCCAAATAAGAATCCAGACCTTTTGGATTTCTTTATTCTGAGAAACCAAATTGTACACAAGTAGAGGGAAACTTTGACATGGATTCAGACCATTCTAAGTGATAATGTTATTTAAAAATAAGCAAAACCGACCCTAGCAAATCGGAAAACTAATTGGGAAGGTTTTCAAGAGGACTTAACAAATACTATTCCACTGACCATAACACTAAAAACAATAAAAAATCAGCTAGATAAAAAACTGGAAATGTTTTAGAGTTAAAATCCAGCAAACTGCATGGAGGAACACACCAAAAAGTAGAAGATTAACAGCTTGTAAAAACTATCCTGTAGAGATAAGAGAACTAGTAACAGACAAATGAAAATTAAGAAAGAAATGGCGGATGACAAGATTACCAGAAGTTAAAAATATACTAAATATGGCTACCCAAAGACTCAGATGAGAAATTCTAAATCACAAAGAAGAACCTTTTAATAGATACCTAGTAGGGCCAACAGGTGATAAAGAAACTGATTATTCGCTCTGGAAGTAAAAAGTAAAAAATTCGTGTAAATACTGTCCCTCCTATCAGAATAGCAGATAACAAATGGACAAGAAGACAATCAATAGAAAGCTGATATTTTCGCTGATCACCTACAAACGACGTTCCAATTAGATGACAATCAAGACACTCCTAACGAGACGATCCATAATATGGAACAACTTGAAATTAGGCTATTTACGCCCAATGAAGTTGCGAAAGAAATTTAGACAAACAACCCTCAGGAAGCCCCAGGATATGACCTTATTACTGAAGCAATAAAAAAATGTCCACGAAAGGCTGTCATTAAATTGACATACCTCATAAATGCAGCATTTCGACTTAAATATCAGACATATTAAAATATTTTTCTAAATAATCGATTTGCTTTTAATCGATTCTAAATTTGTCAAAATCATAGTTATAATAGTTTTATTAAATTAAGGTTGGTAATCGCCCCTACCATTATTTTATTGAATAGAGCAAAAAGTGTTGGATAAAACTTTTGTAAAATTTTCTCAAAATTACCGTTCTTTTATTATTATTACTGAACATTTAAAGGGGAGAAAGCCCTCTAACTGTATTTTCTCTTAACTGATTTTGTTATAATTTTTTGAAGCCCTAGGATAAATAGTTTTTGAGTCCTTAATCAGTACATGTAGAGAACTTGCCTCAATTCTATTTATATTTGACATCATTAATGGTAGGATATATGAACCCAAGTATAGTATCTGATATCAGTTTAAATGTTCTGATACATGACTACAGACCCAGAGATATTATATTGAAAATTTAAATTCGCTCATCCAAAGATGCCTTAAGTATTTGTCCTCATTTTGAGTGCACAACATCTTTGTATTTCTAAATTTTAAAAAGCATAGATATAGAAAAAATGTTAAATAGTTTTCTGTAATTTTTTTAATCTTTTAATATTTGCAATTTTCATAACATTGTGATGATTGCATTATAAATTGGACCTGTTCACCTGTTCTGTATGCATTCAGTTTAAAATAAAATTGGCCTATTATTTCCTCTACATTTGTTAGCTTTGGCATATTGGAAAAACCCAAAGATGGTGAAATGTTTTACACTATCATTTTATAACCAACATATCATACAAAATAAATATTTGTATTTCAAAATAATATATAAAATGACTAAGAAGTTTATCCATGTTTTCAATTTGGTATTTACCTATCCATAATTGAAAGAGAAAGTCTTATCCACATAAAATGTTTTAATTCAGAGCAGAGCGATTAGTTTCAGCCAGTTTGTAAGGAAGTACATTCGTCAAAAAATTGAAAAAAGTGATAATATAGTGGGGGAAACTATAAAACAAATAGGAAATTTTAAATGAAATATCTTTGTTTTAAAAAATTGATGTACTGTAAATTATGTTATGAAGGATAATTTAATTAACAATTACCTAAAAATTAAATGAAACAATAGTTTTTTAATAAAAGTTTCAAAAAACAAAAATGAGAATAATAATATGACTGATTCGAATTTTATCAGGGATATTTTTAGATACACTATTGCCCAAATGTTGAATTAGCCTTTAGGTATGTCAAGCTACATTTCTTGGCATCAATGTAAAAAGGATTAAATCCTTAGCTGGTTAAGATAAGAAACATCAGTGAGTGTGTGAAGTGTGAACCTTATCATTAAGCAAGTTAAGAGTTATCAAAATTAAGAATATATATATATCTTTCAATGTAAAAAGGAAAGAATCCTAAGTTATGAAAATAAGCCAAATAATACCCTAATGTAGTATTTGTTAGTAAATTTAAAAGCAACAACAACAGTAGATATTTCATTTAAAATTTATCAACTGCTTTATATTTTTCACTTCACTCACTGATTCCATTTTTTGAGAAATGTGCTTTCTTACAGATCTGATGATGGTCATTGATCCTTTGGATAAGTCTTTCCTTTATAAGAGTTTAAAATATTTTTTAACACAAAACTTAACATTTTTGTGGCTAATATTCTGCTAAATGTTAGAAGTAAACATAGATAAGCAATATCAACATAAAATTTTGTTAAAGCATATTTTAGTAAAAGTACGACAGGAAAACCATTATGAAAAACATTAAAGTGAACTTTAAATAAAAGCTTCTTTTTTTTAAATCCGATTTGATTATGAATCCTTAGAGCAGTTCTAAAAATCTTAATTTCTTTACTACTTTTACTTTTAAATTATACAACAGTAATATTAATATTTTTCAGATATGCGTGTAAGTCCTGTTCATTTCCAACAGCACTCTCCGCCGTTCTATAGACAGTCCAGCGATGAGTATATCAAGAGTGAAAGTCCATCTTGCAAACGCAGGCGTTTGTCCCGTTCTGGGCATCATATTGATTTGAATGTCCAACCGCCTTCACCGCCTCGTCGCTCTCCTAGACAACATCAACCATCTACTTCTCATCCACCAATGCAGGTAACGGGGATAACATAATATTTGTAATATTTTTAATTATATAATAACTCAAAATCACAGAAACATAGAATACAATTTTAGGAAAGTCCATTCATAAACATTTCAGTCATATCATTAGAAAGAATTATTGTTGCGCATTGGAAAAACCTATATAAAAAGGACACTTAGTAGCTAATTGAAGCGTATTTAGACCAACCCAACTAACAGGTACGTCAGTATATATGCGGCACAGAATAGACAAATTGTTGACTCCAAATCCAGTAAGTATTACAACTTTGGACATCATGCATGTCATAATCCTGCGTCTCCAGCTACATATTTAAGGATAACAAATATCCTTTCATTTATTCTACAGTCGTTGAGTTAATGATAGAATAGTTTTAATCTCTAGTATTTTATATTTGTGTGAATTTTATTATTAGCAAATAAATCAAATATTTTCTTTTCAACAGGTTCCAGTGACGATTCCAGTGAACCATGAAGCAGTATGGAGCTATTCGACTTCTCCACATGTGTCTATATGCACAGTACCTCCGAGCGCACCGCCCCACATGCACAACTGTCACTTGCACAACGTATACGCTGCTGTACCACCGCTCGTACCTCAACAATTCCCTCCGGGATGCATCCCTCACCAGACTTTCGCTACGTTCGGTCCTCCGGCTCCTAGTGCTGTTCCAATGCCGGCCCAACACTATGCTCATCAACGTATTCCTACACAGGTAAGATCTATAATCTATGTGGTCTGTTCAGAATTGTAATATCTTAACTTAACAAACAGGTGGTCTGAACAGGTCTGTCATTATATTAATTTTTTAAATATTTGAAATTTATTTTTAATCATGTATTTTTTTTTAATTACCTGCTTCAACCTTAGATCGGTTATTTGCGGGGAAACTTTATTTTGATCTAACATTTTACAGCAAATTAATATTTCAGAAAAATAAAAATTTACATTTAGAAGAATAATAATAGATAAGGTACAGTTGCCTAGATTTGGTCAAGTAGGTTGCTCAGTTGTAGATATTTTATTACATTGTCTATATTCTTGGGATACAACATTTTCACTGTGTTATTAAAACGTAATGTCTCTTTTTCTTTCTGCAAAATATAGAGGACAATGTAATACGTGTTCGACATATAGCTGCACTTCACTAGACTACCTAGACGCTTTCAACAGTAGAAGTTCTGAAAGCTCCTAATGCGATTTTAATAGCTGTATTACTTAGTTCAGGTTTCTAAGTATAGACTTTTTTTGGCGGTACAGTATACTCTTGAGCAATAATCTAATTTTGATCTACGAGTAATAGTTGCTCTGTGTATGTGCAGTAAAGATGTACAATCAGCACCCCATATGTGACCCAAGTGTTTTACAGATGGTGTTTTATCACAATTAAAAACATTGTGATTCCAATTACAAACACTCCTAGGATGATAAAGGTAAAATAACATTAGCGGTTTTTTGCAATTTACTCAAAATTTTAGAGGTGTATGGGTTAAACCCAGGGCGGGATATCGCGCATGGTGTTATGGCGGCACTGACATCTTGCGTAGAGTTAGTAGAGTTGGCACGAAGTAAATATCATATGACAGATGCACATTGCAGTAGTTTGTAAGTCAGTTATAGGAATTTATAACATTTAGGCTGATATTTGTATTATATTATGTTGTAAACTTTGTTCTTTGTAATTGATATTATTGAAACACATAAAAAAAAGAGGTACGTAATTTACGGATCTAACAGTAACAATAAAAGCAAAGGACTTAAAATAGGAAGTTGTTGAACAGTAAGAGGTTAGTCAGAAGTGGCCCAAGGGTGAAATATGTTACAAAGGGAATTGTTCCCCGAAAATTCGACCTGGAGCCACCCTTTCAGTGGCAAGTGGACGTACAGATAAATTTAAATAATAATATTGTCATGTGTGTTCCAAGCACGTTTAACCTTCCAATTATAAGAGGAACCTCAAAGCAGAACTTCACATTGGTTCATTCACAACTCGGGACTTCTTAACTAGATACTCTTCCCTTTGGTTGAAAATTTCTCAATATACAGCAAAGGTAAAATTGTATGTCACAAAAAAAAATTCACATGCTCTTGATTGAAGAATTAAAAACCTGTCAGTGGCTATTTCCAGGAAAATACAGTGACATTTAATTTTACTTTTGTATTTGCACCCACCATGTAGTAGTTATTTATATTTGTTACATTATTATTATGTTCTGCTTTATATGTAAAAAAAAAACTATTTTTGGTATCGTATTTATACATAAATCCCATCTTTTCCATAAAAGAAGTAGTGAAGTATATTCAATTGGGAAATATAATGCAGGTAAATGAATCAACTGTTGCGAATCCTAATCAGTTAAATATTTCCGGCGTCTCCAGATGCGAAATTTTTACCCAGGATCCCAAGTTAAGAAGTTCCGAGTTGTGAATATATCTTTCTCATTATCCTGAATATAAAAACTATTCTTCAGAAGTCGAATGTTCTTCAAAATTAAAAACCTGCATTCGAATTTGTATAGCAAAAATAAATCAATAAAAAGAAAAAGGAAAAAAACTGTTACTTATAATAAATATTTCTTTTATATATGTTTTTGCATTTATTTTCCTTCGTAGCTCTCTCCCATAATAATGTCCTTAGATATTTCAACTAATTGATAAAAAAACTACCCTTTAATATTCATGAAATTTCTAAATAACATATATTTTCCTCACACTTCATCATTATTTTTAAATTCGCGCCTATACAAACTCTACGCGTGACGTCATGCGCGAAACCGTCCTATTTTAAACACAGTTGATATCCTACCTTTTATTTTTTATATCATGGGTTAAACCGACCTCAGGCGGGTCTGGTCAAAAATACTGACCACTTTTTTTGTGTGCCAAACACATGGTACACAGACTTTGTCAAACAATTCTTTAATATGAAAATACATATTATATACATACAAATTGAAATTGACACATACAGGGTGGTCCTTAAGGTTGGCGTTCGCCCATATAAATCAGCTGCATATGCACTGTTTACTTTAAAAGTAGCTTTCGGGAAAAATATACTTCCTGGCATTAATTGTAATATTGAAAACAATTCATGAAGTAGTTGTAAAGACGTCTTAAGAAATTGATATGTTTTAAATAACTCAAAAAATTACTTTGAATTTTGGTATCTAAACCATGTGGAATCATTGTCTTGCCTAGGAATTTTCTTTAAAACTAAACATGTTTATATGTTTTCTTTCCGTTACAACTCTACAACTAACACAGGAAAATAATGAAACACATCACACTTGAAAATTTTGTTTAGTTTTCCTTAAAGCTAGTTTTAAAATTATATATATTTTTTATGTATGTATATGATATATCACGCGACATAGCGGAAAGTTACAAAGTTAAAAACATTTTTAAGTATTTTCCTTCTAACGATTTTGTAAAAAAAATCCCCAAATTGTCCAGATAAAAAGTTTTCGAGATATGGCCAGACACCCCCTTTAAGTAATTATACATAGAAGTATAGTAGATTTTTTTTTTGACTTTTTGATAGTAGATTTTTGACTTTTTAACTGGTCTTGATAAAATATTGGTAATAAAACAGATGAAGGGTCAAATTTTGAAATTTAATATTCATAATGACTTTACATTGAGCATTATAGTAAAAATGTTCAAATTGGTGGTTATTGGATATGAAAAATTATAATTTCGTATTTACATTTATTTTACAGGAGACGAGCCACATAAGACACATTGATGGCATAAATATACGTTTAACTCTTTTATTATTTAAGTTAGCATCATTTTTATTAAAAATATACTATTAACGCCAAAAGTTAACAGTTTTTGATGTAATCGCATTTTATACTCTATAATCCTCAATTATTAATTCGAAGAGTAGAGGTATTAACCGTCATTAAACACTAGAGAGAACAATATGGGACCAATTTGTAATCCTTGGGGTACGCCAGATATAACATTAATTTATGGAAACAACCGCCATTACCGCCAATATTTTTGTTAAACTTGATTTTGTTTTTGTGATATTAATCATTTGTATTAGTGATGACAGAATTTGTGTGCCAAAGTTGTTTATATTTAATTTAAGTGATTTTAGGTCTTAAAATATATTCCTTAAAAGTACATAACATTTTATTTAAATAATCGTTTAGTAATCAATTCTGTAAAACAATAAATAAAAATTGAGATTAGGTATTCATTAACATTTTATTTCTATTATTTTCAAGATTGTATTCATTTAAAAGTATACCATTGTATTAATTACATTAATTATAATTTAGTTATATATTTTTAAACATCTTTTTACGACCTGCAAGGAACATAAAATAACCGGTTTGATATCATTTTAATGGGTATTAGGACCAAGATGTCTTCCTGTATAATTGGGAATGGATTTTATAAACTAAACCATATAAATTTTTGTAAATACCCATGAATTGACTCGAGTCGAGTGGTCATGTCTGATTTTGCATAGACGCTCCACATTTGTCCTAAATCTTGTATTTTTAAATTAAATTCATATGATTAATTTTTCTTTATAATAAATTAAAGTTTCTTTCTTTTAATATAAATATATACTGTACTTGTGTAGGCACGTTACAGGAGTTTAGATGTGAATATTAACAAATACTGTGCATTTACGGATGTATTACAATTCATTTTCTAAATTTTATTGTAATGATAAAACCACCGATTTTCTCTTATATGGATTATTTTTTTTTAGAGACCCGATACTTTTGAATTAGATCTGCTCAACGACCATCATCATCACCACCATGCTCATACTCATTCCGCTATCCATGGGGCCTCATCTCTACACGTGCCACCCATCCAAATGTCTTCGCCTGCTTCGCTCTTCCTATCAACAGAAACTAGGGCTACTTCGTTGGATCTTTTGCACGCCGCACGTACGCGTCAGCATAGAAATACGCGTTTACCGCCGCCCAGAACCCGCTGGCACCATAGCCCACCACTTATTGCAGCACCTGCTGGATTTTTGCTTCACTTCTTGTAAGTATAAAATGGTCTTACTATTTATTCAAAAATTCAAATTAATAAATATTGATTTGGAGTGGTAAAAATGGATATTACCCTTCCTTAGTTATAGAATGTTTCACTTCAGAAATAGGTAAATATAATCAGTGGCGTAGCTAAATGTACAAGTTTGCACCAACATAAATTTAAACTAAATAAATACTTTTCTCATGTAAGACACTATAACACTATAAAAACAGTTTTTTACGATTATCCAAAATTCTTAAAATTGGAGATTGCTGTCTTTGGTTCTAAACCTCTCATTTGAAAACTGAAAGTTTGTCGAAATATTTCTAGTCTAAAAGCAAGAGGACTTAATAAGCCCTTAGACCTTGTATTGAGGATATGCACATCAGTAGGGTATTTAATTTTAAATATGTAGGCGTTTTGTTTTATGAAAAAGTATAGCAGCATGTAATGTCCTTTGTTTCATGTTCAGCCAGCCAATCTCTTTTAATTTATATGAAATTCGTTCTCTTCTTCTAATTCCAAAAATTAGTCTTAAGCAAGAATTTTGTGTTTTATTGAGCTGTCACAAAAAACTAATTTTACAGGAGACTATAATAACTAATTTACAATAATTGACTTGGAACTCTTTTTTTCTAGCACAATGTTCTCCAATTCACCAATGTCTCCATTTAGCCAAAGCAGCTCAGATTCTACTGAAACAGAAAACTACGAAGCTTTACTCAATCTTGCAGAGCAGCTCGGTGAGGTTATTCCACGTGGCTTGAGCAAGCTCGAGATTGAACAACTCGTGAGCTATAAGTATGATGCAGAAACCCACGAGGGCGATCAGACTTCGTGCGTTGTTTGCATGTGCGACTTTGAGGCTCGCCAGGTGCTCAGGGTTCTGCCCTGTTCCCACGAGTTCCACGCCAAATGTATTGATAAGTGGCTGAGGGTAAGTTCAATTATAGATTTGTATCTATTCGTTTGCAGCTAAATGTGTTGATTTATTAAATATTAATGACATAACCAGACGCATTTTCTTTTATATATTAGGGTATAAATACTTTTACTTTTAGGAATATACTTACAAAAATAAATACAATTACAAACATGTTAACTAACTATTTGCAACTCTTTTTTATGGATGTGGTCTATAAGACCGCTATATGCCATCTAAAACCTTCCTTCCAACCTATATTCCTTCAGGGCTAGGATCTACTTTTAGTCCTCTTTTTTTGCAAATGTTTAGAATTATCATCCTATACTAGGATTACCAAACAGACAGAGTGATCACATGTGCTTATATTGTCATTCCTAGGAATCGTAGATCCCCAATTGAAGTAAATGCTGGGTTAACTTGCGTTAAGTGTTAATTTTATTATGTTCTTGAAAGACAGCTTATTTGAATATAACTTTTCCTTTTTTCTGAACATACCCTAAAGCATTTCTCTAATTTTGAGATTTTATAATTTTCAACAGCTTCTTGAAATAGCTTTTTGACATCCACTATCACAGCAACAGTATATTTATGAGCAAACTTATTTTCTTTGACCAACATTAATAACTCCGTTTTCATCATATCTTCCTTATATTCTGCATTAGGTTTCCTCCACTACTACTAAGGGCTTTTTTTGTTGGCTGTGGTAGAAGCTTTATTAAGTCATTGACTTCCTTCAAAAATGTCAGTTCATATCAGCGATATAATATGTTTTTTGTTTCCTATTCAAAATGACTAATCCATTTTCCACAAATACCAATGTAAAAAACTATAAGAAGTGAGTCTTTATCAGCAGGCTTTTTTTAATCTGGTTGATAGACCTTCAATAAAAAAAAAATTAAAAGAAATTCTCCAAGAAATGTATTACACAATAATACAAGCGATCGTTTCCCTTCTGAAAAGAAATAGTCTTTTGGATAATACCACAATAGGCATTGAATTATATACAAAGAAAACAAGCCATAGAAAATTAAAGAGTCCGAAAACACTTAACACATACACAAAATCAACTGTCCTTCACAACAAACAAAGTAATGCCCAGAAAGTGACCTAAACATGATGAGCACCATTTTATTACTCCTACTGTTCGGTAATACTACTATAGATTTGTTTATTTTTTTCATATAAACTTCTATTCTAATATTCTGTGCCTTTTTGTTTTTGCTTGTTCTCGACCTTTTCCATTTCATATGTAACCTATCTAACCTGAAGTAAAGAATACCTTACTAGACCTAGTAATCTGAAAAATATTCTTTCAATACTATCCCCTAGTACCTAACTGTTCTTAATAGTCATCGTAATGATAAGATACTCTGTGACAAATAACTCACTAAATCTATATTTTTTAAATAAATTGTCTACATGTGTTTATGGTGTAAAGAATAACAATTGAGTACATTTTCAATGGAAAACTCAAATCATTTATCAACTTAAGTCAGTTATTATTTAGACCATTAACATATGTAGAACATTTATTTAAAAATATACACTTTTAGTGTCACATAGTATAAAAAGAAATTTCAAACAATAAATAATAATTAAGAGTTTTTTAATACTATATGATTTAAGTTCATCTGAAACTTATGAGCTTTATAATCTCTTTATATATGTTATGTAAATATATTTTTTTTCTTTTTCAGTCAAATAGAACTTGTCCTATTTGCCGAGGTGACGCTTCGGACTACTTCACCAATAGCGAATAGTTTTTTTGCCTTTTTCACATAAATTACCACTTCTATATTTTCAAATATCACCAATTGCAACGCTTTAAGAGTAATTTTTGTGTCAGGTGCCATTAGTTGCCAGTAATAAATAGAATAAATGTCATTTTATTTTCTATTAATAATATTAATAACTATAGTAATTGTTAATTTTTAAGGATGCAGCAATATTCCGGGTGTCTGATAATTTGCAATTTAATTTTGATGACGTTTTCTTTAAATTTGATTCTGTTTTGAAAACAAAACTATATCTTATCTCCGTCCTATAGAACATCATAAAAATATCCAAAAACATTCTACAATTAGTGTGACAAAGTTATTTAATACTAATATTAGAAGTGAAAGTTAACTTTTAACTGGTCTGGTACATCTTTCCATTGACATGGTTGGCGTCTTTACTTTAATGAGAAAATATTTTTAACAATACATTATTTGGACTTTCAAGATAAAAAAAGCAGATCTCCACGGCAAATAATAAGATCATCACTCTCCCAAGAGTGTAAATTATAGTGAGATGATTATTATTATTATTATAACATAAAAATGAAATTGAAGCATTTATTTGAAAGCTCATCATGATATACCTCAAAAAGGTTTGAAATAACCATGCCAGTTCTGTTTTTTCTTAACTTTGAAAATATAGTCAAAACCTTTGATCATATAAACACTAGATACACTTACCTTGTACTACAACAAATGTTTTGTTCTATCATTTCGAGAACATTTAGGCTAATGTTGTTTATCTCATAGTAAACATAGGCGGGTAAAATAAAAATTAATGGGTCTGAAAAAAATGTATTAACAAAATTGTTGAATAAAATATGTTTATTAAGTTTGAATCGCTTTAAGTAGAAAGTGATTCATTTTTGTCCAGAACAAAATAGAACGGGTGAGGCGCAATAGTGCCGAGGACAGAACCCAGGTGGAATGTAAGGCGATATAAATATTAAATATAATTCCCGAAGGGCATTCAACATCTCAAATGTTCAAATAAGTTCCATATATAATTTTATTTAACTAAATGGCGGTAACCTGTTCCGACGCTAAATCATCAGGCCTAGAAGGAAGAAAAATTTACAATAGTAAACATTAAACCTTAATTAATACAATAGCTGAAATGGTCACAAAATTGATATCTAGTTAAAAACATCAATTGTAGAATTGATTGATTCTCAGGTCGAGTAAATCAATAACAAAAGTAGTGGAACAATAAAAAAAGTTTGAGGATTTACATAGAAACATTTAATAACATAAGAGAATGATGGAATGAAATTTAAAGGAAGTAAAAATTATTTCAAGTAGTAACACCTACTACAGCTGAAGTCAAAGAGGCAATATTGTAATAATTGTTCGAATTCTTTTGAAAACCAAATCTGGACGTACAGCAGCTTCAAAAAATGGATCTTCGATAAAGGACAATTGTTGATATCGATGTGTGAAGTGAAACACTAAAGCCTTTTCCAAGGTTCCAGCTATGAATTGGTGTGAAGTGTGATTAATTGACAAGATAACCAAAATTAATAATAACCTAAAAAGTTAGAGTTAATGTGAAGATACTTTTTCTAAGTGATCTAAACAGATACACGTTTCAAGGGATATAAATATATATGGTTTCACTAGTTGGTTTCAATACTAATCTCCAGTCTTCTCTCTAATCCAAATAAAAAAAGTGGATACAAGAATAACAGCATAATTTAATGTTATTTTTTATAAAGCTTGTTTTTCTGTTTGAGTGTTTCACCACTTCCACAACAGTTGGATGTAAGATAATTATAAATTTGTCAATACCAAATGATATTTTGAAAATACGAAGTTGTGCTGTAGCGATCTAAATTGTATTTCTGAACAACTAACCAATAAAAAACGCACCAATATCAAATCTTCAGTCAAAACTGGGATGCCGTCTTTTTCTAAAGTCTATTACAGTTTTATGTTGGGGACAAAAAAGTGGCAAGATGATTTATCTACTGTTTATATGATAGAAGATCAAAAAATGTTCTCTTGAACAGAAAACAAGTAAAAGTCACATAATATTAAAGAATATGTATTTTTTAAGGATCAAATATTTTAGAAAATACAAGTTTAGTGGGGTCTCTATTTATGAAGTATAATTTTTTTTTCTCTCTGAACAAAAGGTGTTATATTCCTTTGACACACTAATGGTACCTTATAAAAGTTTTATATAAAATATTTTTTCGGAATTTTCTCAACAGAGTTAAAAAGAATTCTAACAAAAATTGAAAAGCTGTTGCACTGCACTTTTATATCTTTGTGCACAGTAGTTTTAAATGTTTATATTAATACAAAAATTACACTTCACATTGTTTAGTTGCTTATACTCGTATTAATTAAGCTTGATATCCAAATTTATTACTAGTTTGTAATCATCGAAAAAAAAAGTGTTTATTTTTTTAATTTGTTGATGGATCAGCTACCCACAATCAGTTACTTCATATTTGGTTATTTTTAATGATGATGAAATTACATTTTCAGAATGTTTTAAGAATTAATAATAGTGAATTCGAATATTTTTAACCCCATTCACTTTTCAAATTTAACAGATAATATGCAAACTGAAACAATACTTATATTATGAGATACATAACAATCAGCATCAGTACTGATTTATAAAAAAACATGTATTGTTCAAGCTTGTTATACATTGTCAAGAATGTACTTTTTTACTATATATTTCTGTCGGGATCTGATCCATCATTTTCTTAACATTATTTTAGGAAGAAAACTAGGTTATTATTTTTTAATATAAGAATCTATTTTTTATTTAGGAGATTAAGGTGTTAGTCTGGGTTATTTTTTTAATTGCAAAATTTTTTCACTGTACATTTATTAAGGCAGCTTTCAAACATGGAACAAAATTTGTAACTAACTAGTTATTTATATTTAATATTGATACAATTGATCTCAAAACTAAAATATGCACAGATTTTATCAATATTGTGGACTGAAGGATTAAAGTATTTTAAGCAGGTCCCCTTAGTTTATTTTATTTTTTTTTGTAATTGCCTAAATTACAAAATTATCAGACACTCCTTGCAAACTAAATAGTTAAATTATTGTGAAAAAGAGAAGTTAAATAAACTCGATAATATACTAAAGATGATTGCACATTTTTTTAAATATCTATTTAAAATATAGCGTAAATATTGATGGAAGCTGATAACGATTTTTTCGCAATAATAATTAAAAATAATATCACGCAGATGTAGGGTACAACTATTTTTACGTGTGCTTAGTATGGTGAAAGTCGGCAATTAATTTAGTGTGGTGAATGTTTGAAAAAAGTCCAAAATTTGAATTTTATAATAACATTTTTGAATTTGAATATTTACCAATTGATTCTCAATTTAGTTTATTATATTTAGCATTTTTATGAAGGATGAAATGGCTTTCCAAGGCTTCTCTTACAAGAATTCAAAAATAGTAGTTACATTTGGAAATAGTTACTAAATTTAGGGGCTAATAAACTGTTTTATAAACATTGACATTACTCCGATCTATTATCACAAAATATTTCTATTAGTTTTTTTTTGTCACGATCTTTGGAAAATATACAGCGTATCTACTTAAGTTGGCGCTATAAATATGGGAAACTTTAATTATTAGTTACAAAAAAAAGTTACTCTATAAAAATTACTGCATGATCTAAACCCTATAATAAAATCAGACATCAGAATTTATGGGGTATGCCACAAAATATAAATTTGGTGACATAATAAACTACCTTTATTTTTGACAATATCAAAAGATGTTAAAAGTTGTTTAGATTTAAAAAAAAAAACCATATTTTGTGAATTTTCCAAGTAACTTCAGGAAGCTAAGTGGACACCATATATAAAAATTGTGTTAATGTTAATTACTACTATTTTTCACAACCTGCCAGAAGCGTGTAATGTGTGCTCAAACTAATCCGAGAATTTTAGTAAAACTTTCAATGACACAATCAGCTGGTTGTTTGATTAGCAATAACTTTTAATAATTTGGTCAATCAAAATTAACACGTTCCATTTTAAAAGTAAGTCTTATGTGAACCTCATAACATTGATGGTCTTCATTCTGAATTTTTATGAGAGGTGGTAAGAGTTATGGCCTTTAAAATTATACATATTTCGTCAAATATTGTACTTTTTTCATGACATTGTATGATTCCATCATAAAGCACGAATTGGCAGTCCTGGTACAACTGACCAATTTGCATTGCGTTCCACAGATTCCGTCTTTCTGGATTAGAATCACGATTATGTAATACTAATTAATCTCTTAAAAAGATATTCTTTTGCTGTTTGCTTCTCTGTGCTTTACTAGATTTTTCTGTGACTTGTGAAAACGATAAGCCTGGTGTTTTGGTATGGCTGATTGATATCTTTCCCGTAGAGGTGAAAGAGCCTTTTAGAATAATTAATGAGTAGAAGAAAAAAAATAATGGTATTAGAATAGGTTATATTTGCTTTTACTTATGTGAAAAATTAAATCAAAGGTTTTATGGATTCCGCAATCTGACGCGACTGCCAACCAATCTATGCAATACAATCAGAACACTTCATTATTTGACTCGTCTAATCTATATTACATGCATGTTATTATGTGTGTGAAAATCGAAATGTTTGACTTGTTTTCAGTTATTGCTATATTAAAAAGAAAACACTAACCGCCTTATTACAATTTTTATCCCGCTAGAGGGTGTTAAAATCAAAAGTAACGCAATGGACATAAAATTACATTTTAAATGGTGTATAATAACTTTGTATTTTCTCTATTTATATTGTATTGGTTAGTGTGACGGAGAGGAGGGGAATGATATGTTACCTTTGAGAATATGATAAAAAGGTCTTTCTCTTTAACTTCCGATTCTGACACTGACGTGTCAACAACGAAATGGTGGTCTCATATCAAGTTTTAAAGTTTCTATCCGACTTTTGAATTCTTACAAAATAATTCAGTGTGTCGAAGTTTCAAATACAAATTAGTGATTTGAGAGTTCTGGTGTGACTTCATTTATGCTTTTCTTGTTAAGTAAAAATACGTAACATTGGGCATACAGTGTAAGCTGAACACATTAACCCATTTAAGTGATTTATCACTTAAAAGTAAATATGAATGAAGTGGGAATAGTGTTGTCAAACAGGGTCCTTGTGTGACTCTCTAGGCATGCTGTTCTCACTATAAAAAACGTAAAATTGGACAGGCAGCGGAAGCTTAATCCATACAAAAAGGTTGAAGAAGAAGAAGAAGAAGAAGACGGTGTTCCCCTTGGAATACAAATCTACCTGTTTTAAGCAATTTTTGATAGATATTGCCAATGGGGCGTTTTTAAATTAACATCAATTTAAACTTGAAAAATTTGACATCCAAATTACTTTTTTTTATAGTACATACTTGAAAGAATTAATTGAAGACACAAGTGGATGAAGGGCCTATGTAGCAAAATAAATTTTACGAGATATTTCATGTTAAAGTTTATTGTTTAACAGTTATTCTCTAGTACATGGGTCCTTTATCAACTGGCAACTTCTATATTTGATTTTAGGTACATAAGCCCTTCATTCACAGAAAAACACAATTTAAAAAAAAAATATTACATAGGCCCTTCATCCACTTGTGTCTTCAATTATATCTTTGATAATGTGATGTCATTGATTCCAAACAAAACAAATCATTCATGATGAACAGCTGTCATAGTTGTTAACAATTTAATTCTGTTTAATGTGGGTTTATGGTTAAGGCGAGTTCGTGCCTTGCCATGACAGTTGCATTCATAACATTGCTCTGGA